TGATTTATTAAGTGTATAATCTTGAACAAATCTCACGTTCTGTGACAAAGGTATTTCTTTGTCAAATGAGTAAATCAGATCACAGAGAATTGGCAGGGCTCTTTGTAGCTCTGAAATCCTATGATTCCACAGTAGTCTGGTTTCATAATCAGCATCTAGAAAAAAGCCATCACATCCCTAACTGGTGCTCCCAGTGTGTCCAATATCTGAACTTGGTGATGTTTAAAGAACTGCTAGGTGAAGCTCACTCTTCATCAGCCAATTAACTTTGACCTTCAAAACAGGTGGTTCACTTTATCCTAGCTCCAAAGAAGACTGGGTTGTTGAACTGTCACCCTGAAAGCCATGTTCTCCTACTTCTGTGTTCTGTGAAAGAAGCCAGTGCTCATCTCACTGTTTCTAGGAAGCTTCCCAGATCTAACCCAGTCCAGCTGAATCTGCTCACAGCTAGCTGGTGAGAGCTCTGTCCAACCATGGGCTGCATAGGACTTTCACTGCTGAAGGTGGTCAAAGGCTATTCTTTCTAGAAGAGAACACCCCATGGATGAGAAAGACAGAAAAAGTGGAAGAGAAAGAATAGAAACACAACTGGAAAGAATTAAGCAGAGTCTTACAATATTGGAATGCAGATTATGTTGGGGGGAAAATGGAACACTTCCAGCTTTGTACACTTGAACTTAAACCCCCTACAGTGTCAGGAAATCAGAAACTTAAACTGTCACAAGAAATAGAATGGACTGGAGAGAAAGCCTACACTATTTATCAAGGAGAAAGCCCTGCTGGCTGCCAATTCCTTATAAGGAGTGTGGTTTTAGAGTCACAAAATTTTGCATGAGACATTAGAACAAAACACTCCTAGTGGGTCAAATATATCATTTTTCCATGGGTTAAAACCAAACTGTATCACCACCTAACCCCACCACATGTAGAGGAGCTGCCTACACCAGAGTGGATTAGTTGGAACATGAGATAGACGGAAAGAACGCAAGGTCACTATCAAAGAAGCAGAATTGCTGCAGTGCACAAATGTGATGCCTCCACCATTAGACTGGGCACAAGAGCCCTTAGTATTTAAACTGAAGTTAGACACAATCCTGAAAAGCTAAGTAAAACAGTGTTTTTCTAAGCCTACAATCTCCGTGACACGCAGAACTTCAGAGGTGAACACACGTTATGATGAGTGAGCTGGAAGCAGGTACTGTATGCTGGCTGGACGCCCACCGAAGAAACTCCTGTCACTCTCAGACAGAGAAGTTCTGGCCGGGAGCCCTGCACTTAGCCTTGGTCAGTCTCATTTCCTAGATGGGCCTTCTCACCACTGCTCATGTTCTCCTCCCAGAGGTAAGAGGCAGCATTTTCAAAGGATAGCCCAGGGTTACTTAAGCCCAGGACTGAAGCCCGTGCAGCAGTGACAGATCCCCCTGCACTGCTTTGTAAGTGTGCAATTCAATAATTTTTAGTAAAAGCGCAGAGCACTGTCATTTCCCCAATAATTTTCCTTGTGTTCGCTTACAGTTAATCTGCACTAATGTCTCAGCCCAAGCTCACTGCACATGGGAGTGCCCTTCCTGTTCCTCTACCTCTTGTCCTCTCCCGATTCTCCAGTACTGACTGCACAGAGTGGTACCTATGTGTCCTAGTAAAGGACATTCCCTTCACTCGGGAGGCTGAGGCAAGAGGACTGTCGCGAGTTCGAGGCCAGCCTGGGCTACAAAGTGAGCTCAAGGCCAGACTGAACTGCATAGCAAGACCTTGTCTCAAAAAGCCAAAAAAAAAAGTAAAGGACATTGCCTGTACCACTGTACCATTAGCCACCTGGTGGTGGTCCCCCACACACGTACACACACATACAAACACACACACACACACATGCTCGCGCTTATACACACACACACCACACACCACTAACAACTACCAGGCAACTAATGTAGTATCTTCCGTATCCCAGAAAAAACCAGTACTACTGCCAGATGCTTGTAACCCAGCTCTGATAGGTAAGGTCACAGTTCTCAAAGGCTGCAGAAAAACTGAATAGTATGCATCAGAGTACATACACCCTTTTTAGAAATCAACATGATTCACACCTAAAATTGAGAATCCCATCTCTGTTCCTTGAAAGCAACGTATCTCACAGAATCCAGAGGTGAAAAACCAGATACAGGAACTGAAGAAAGTCGCCATAACCCAACAGTTTCCAGAAAGCCAGTTACACACTCACCCAGTGTGCTCTTGACATGGAAAGTTAAATATTCTTGAAAGCAACAGAAAAACAGGAAGAAAAATCAGAGGTGACCTTTTTATTTGAGGGGAGGTACGGAGTATTAAACGCAAGACCTTGGCACTGAGCTACAATTCCAACCCTCATTAAATTTTTTATTATGAGACAGGGTCTCACTAACTAGCTAAGTTGCCTCAGCTGGAGCTCACAATCGTGCTTCAGCCTCCCAGACAGCAGGGATTGTACGGGGGTGGGGTTGGGGGGGTGGGGTGGGGGTGTTGCCACTGTGCGCTGCTCAAGGTGCCCTTTCAAGTGAGCTCCTCTGTAGCCTTGTCTGAGAAGCCAGCACTTACCTTCAGTTTGTTTGCCAGGGTGCCAGAAACTTTCCAGGAAGAAATTCACACACTACCCAGTAATTCCACTGGGTAGGAATTACTGGTAGGCAGAACGGGCTGCCTTAATCACCGGACTTAGAGGTGGACCAAGGCTCTATTGGCTGTCCTAGAGAAAATTAACACTGGCTACCCTGGCTTCATCTTGCAAATTTGGCAGGTACCCCTGGAATACATTTTTATGAAATATTCTGTAATATTTTGAATTTCCATTGATTAAAAATCTGTAACACAATGAATCCATACATAAAAATAGCCAAAGTGACATTTTCCCCCAAACTTTTTCAGTTATGCAAGCAAACCAATGGCATCTTTCAAATGGATAAGGTTCTTCCTCTTAAGGTCTGGAAAGAAGTTTCATACTAATTTAACACAGTTGCTAAAAATTCTGTTTCATATAAGTGTCACATTTTCCTGTTTTTTTCTCCTAGTTCTACCCTCAGAATGACAAAATACATATGACAAAATGTATAAATCATTGGCGAGGCCTGCACCTCCTCCTAGGAGAAGAGCAGAAGTAAGTGAAAATTTGAAGTCCCTATAGAATTATTTTTTAATCATTAAGAGAAGATATTTTTAAATGCATGAAGTCGCATAGTTTCTTTCCCCAACTCCTGCAAAAAAGCTCGTAGTTCTGTATTTTCTTTTGTAAAAAGAAGGGAAAGATAATAAGAAAACTAAAATGCAGAGAAACACAGAGGTTATTTAAATGTTTAACTTTCTATTTTCAGCGCCATTCGAATTAGACGAATCACTATATTAAGAGTGACTGGAAAATTATGGTGGGAAGAAGTGATTATCTCCCAAACATACTTCTCACTAGAAAGGATCACAGTGAATTAAGCTGAAGTGATTTGCACTTTGAGTTCGAAGAATGAGACCCTCAAAAGCAAACGTCTAGAATCAATTAACCAGATTCTCACATTAACTTAACTGAATTTCAAGAATGGTCTAATACCCATATTTGAATCAACAGGCAGAAAATTAAAAATGGATTGCTCCCTGGTGCTTCCATGCACAGAGGGAAACACTGTAATCTGTCCTCCTTACAATGTTGGTGATGTATATCAAGCAATGCTGAGGTTTTAAACACAAAAGAACAATCCAGTTGTAAAAGCTACTTATGCATCTCACAGCCCCAGAGAAGGTAGTTCTGTGCTACCTGAAACAAAGTTTTAAAAATGCAAATACAAGCCAGGTGTTGTGGCGCACACCTGTAATCCCAGCACTTGGGAGGCTGAGGCAGGAGGATCCTTGTGATTTCAAGGCCAGCCTGGGCTACAAAGTGAGCTCAAGGTCAGCCTGAACTGCATAGTGAGACCCTCTCTCAAAAAGACAAAAAATAAGTAAATAAATAAAAGTGCAAATACAAGATATACATAAGCAGAGGGAAACCATCGTCATTAATGTGTAAACTATAACATAGAGCGAGAGAAACCAAAGAAACCTACGGGTCAACATCAGTGTGTTTCTGCATGTCATGAGCAGCAGACATTAAGCCTCAGAAACAAAATTAGACGTGCGTGCCTCTACAACACCCTGCATGCTGTAGGAAAGTAGGCTCAAATACCATGAAAATAGGCTGACACTTCACAATCACGCCACTGATGTTCCCACTGGACTTTCACTAGGCAATTAGTTTAGAAACAACTCGAGTTCACAAAAGAAGTCATTTAATTGTGTTTAACATTCAAACAAAAGGAATTGGTTCTATAATTGGATCAACTTTACACTGAATTCCTACCAGATAAACAATTCCTCACTCAATCAAGTAATAACTCAGAACTTCTCGAGTATTGTGAAGCAATTAAATTTCAGCATGTGTTTTACAAACACAGATGCCAAATTCTTCATCAAGAATACCAATGAGACCAATCTTTGCCCTGATAGGCACACTTTTCACTTCGTCTTTAATTAAGCAACTTTCTTTTGCTCCTCCCAAATGCTGGCGATTAATTTAAACTCTAAAAATTACACTGATCATGACCTGACCATCGGCACCATCCTTACTTCCAGGTGCACTATTTTACAAGTTTTTGTAGGAGTTTTCAACTCTGGCACGGTGGTTTTATGATCATACTGCTTCCCATACTAAAAAACAAGTACACAATATCATAAAGACTACCCTGAAATTGCCCTGTTATATCTTCACAAAATAATGGTATTTGCCTTACAAGCAAGACACTTAAATCCCATCAAATCCATAGTCATGCATAGCAGTAACAGTGCAACCAAAAAGAAACCCGAGAAATCTCCCACCTTCTCCTTTTGAATAATCTCATACACTCCCACTGGGTAGAACAGAACTAAAACTCCCACATTTTCTTTGTCTCCCAAAAATAACCAGCTCTGTAAGGGAAGGCGGGGGATAATGAGGACCAGACGCCTACCCTCACTGGTAGCCACATTCTTCTGGGCTTTGGTCGGCGTGTGATCCGTACTGGAACTCACGTCGGATGAGATGCTTGAGCTGCCTTTGCCTAGAGAAAACAGGAATGAGAAGTTTTTCAGTTAGGCAATTTCAGAAGTGGACCGTGCCTTCCTCTGGGTCCTGTACCAAGCCACATCATTTATTTCCAAGAAAGGAGCTCTGATATCAAGAATGGAATTTATTAAGTTTTTTGCCTTGTGCATTAAATATCTTTGGGGAAATAATCTGATCTGTGTTATAGCAAAGCTAAAGACCTCTTATAATATGGCTTGACTATAAACTCAGACAAGTTTATAAAACATAGTCAAATATGATAGCATAGTCTCATTTTGGCATGCACTTGGGGAGCACATCTACTGCATTAGCTTTTTATTTGCAGCTATAAACCACGCACTTCTCAGTGAAGAAAATGAGCAAATCTAAGAAGGAGGCATTATCAGAGGAGCAAGAGCCTTCTGGCTCCACATAGCTACACCCCTTTCAGAAAACAAATTCCATGTTTTAACAGGGCCTACTTTAATACAAAAACACTTCATGTTTTCTGTTGCAGTGGTTCTTACCTAGGGACAATCTTTCCATCCCAGGGGACACCTGGCCATGTCTGCTATCACTTTTGGTTGTCACAACTGGGGCAGATGCCAGGGTGCTGTTAACCGCCTCAGAATGCACAGAACAGTCATCCAACAAGAAAGGATTATTCCGTCTAAATGTCAGTAGGCTGAGAAGTCCTGGTCTTAATACTATTACCTTAGCTCAGGACTAAGTGTCCACTCCACTATATATATATATATATATATATATATATATATCCTGCTGCTGATTGATAAATATTCTCCAAATGTCATATCAATGTCTGTAAATCTGAACTACACTTTATTTCCCAGAGAGAGAGGCATCTAATAGTTATGACCGGCAGAATTCAAACGTATCCTCACGGCACCCATGTCTTTGTATCATCTTCTTCCCTTCAGTGTAAGCAGAACATGCAAATGACTGGCTTGAACCAATACGACATGGAAATGGTGAGGGGATTTTGCATACGTAATTAAGGTCCCTAAGGAGTTGACTTAATCAACTGAAAGTCGTGGGCATGCCTGACCTAATTAGGTGAATGCTTTAAGCAGATCTAAAAGAGAAAACCTTCTCTTCCTAGTCTTACAACCCAACCACCATGAGGCTAGCACCTCATGGAAGTGAACTCTGGCAACAAGCACGCGAGCTGGGAAGAAGACCCCAAGGCCTGGATGACCAGTGCCTTAACTGCAGCTCTGTGAAACTGCAGAAAAGACCTAGTTAATTCATAAACAGAATTCTGACGCAAGGACTCTCTGAGAGAATCCAGTGAATCCTGAGTTACATCGCTTAGATGTGGTATATTTTTATGCAGCAATAAAAATTAATGTGATGACCAACTAATTCATCACAGATGAACTCTTCACCCCACACACTGTGGTTAGAATTCTAACAGTCACATGGGAAATGCCATTTTCCAGTGGTCTTACCGGCCAAATTGTAGATGCAATGCAACAAATGTTCACATCCCACCAACATTCATATATTCAAACCCTAACCCCACAGAGATGGTGGGGCCTTTGTGAAGCAATTAGATCATGAGAGTGGAGCCCTCATAACAGAGCTCCCTGACCTCTTCCACATATGAAGACACAATTAGAAGATGGCTGTGAATGAACAAGGCAGTCAGCGCCAGCAAATGCTGAACCTGCCAGCACCTTGATCTTGGACTGCCTGGTCTCCAGAACTGCGAGAAATTAACTTCCGTTGTTCATAAGCAACTCAGTCTACAGTATTTGATTACAGTCATCTGAAAGAACTGTGTCAGTACACAATCACAGTTAGGTGGAAGGAGCTTATTGTCTAAATTCGTATAGAATAGAAAAGCACAAATGGGCCTGGACTTTAAAGAGCTTCAGGACTTTGCTTGCTTATGTTGAAAGTTATTGAACAATTCAAACTCACAGATAATATCACTAGAGCAGACCAATGACTACTATCTCCTCTTACTACTGCCCCAGACTCACTGTGGCTTATGGCTCTGACACAAACCTGTTGTTTCCATCATCTCTGCCCATTGCCCAGAGTTCTCCCTGAGACTTGGCTGGGATGGGGCAATAACTCTCTATTACTTTGTGTACAGTCGACCCTGTGGCCTGGCAGTAGTTGCCATGGTTCCCATTTGTAGGTGGGTTGTCATGGTGGACTGGAACTGGTGTGTGCATCCGATCTGTACCTCAACCTACTATTCCTCTGCTTTTCAAACTTGGACATTCACTTCTCCTCCTAAAAGCCCAGTGCCCACATCTGGTAGGGAATAAGGGATTCCTAAAGGCTCAGTCCATGATTCTGTGATCCACTGAATTACTCTTCAAACCTGAGTAACACAAACACTCCTAATGGGGCAAAAAGCATCACTGTGCACCACCAGCATATCAACTTAAATTATTTTAATTATATTATTGCTTAGTGGTGTGCAAATGGAAAACTAGAAATAAATTCCATATGTTCGAGCTCTGATTCAATGAGAAAACCAAAACAAAAGAACAAATTAAGCACAGAAACAATAAAACCCATAACATTCAAATTAACAGCATTAATTTCATGTGAAAGATGATGTTATTTTGCAGAGAATAACGTGTCTTTCAAAACTTAAGTATAATACTGGCCGCCGTGAGAGCCAGTGCTCTTTCTGACTGGCATGCCTGTGCTCCCCTGCGCCAGGGAAGACTCGACCTACAACGCGCGCACCAGTTTCCTCTGCTGAACTTAGCGAGGCCTCTTCTCCTTCAGTGAAGTAATGTATCATCTGACCTTTGTTTGGTCCTCTCATTCATATTTTTAAGCCTGTTCTTTTCTTCCTTAGCCCAGCCACTGAAAGCACAGCACCTTCCTTAGAATATGGGAAACTTAGATAATGAAATCGTGTGGTAGGAACTTGTTATAGATAGGAGAACTGGTATGCAGTTATTGCTTTTTGATTTTCAGTAAACACATAATTGAACATATTCATGGATTTCAGTTTGCCATTCAAATACACGAATACAATGATCAGGATAACTGCTATATCTAGTGCCTTTAATATTTACCATTTCTTTGTGTTGGGAACATTCATTTTAAGACGACAACCAAGTTGAAATCACAAAATATGACAAGTTTCTGAGGAAATTCTTGGACCTCTCTGAGAACAAGGGTGTACACCACCTCTCTGAGGGCCACAAACTCCAGAGTACTAAATACTGACCTATTAAGAATACAGCTGAAGGAATAGTATGACAAGTGTTATTTACACTGTGAACATTGAATGCACACGGTGTGCTGAGTACTCAAATACACATTCCACACATTCCACACATTCATCTTATTAAATATTCACCATCCCATACACCAGGAATTCTAGATCTTTTTTTCATTATTGTCCTCCCAAAGGAAACCTTTACGATTTTTTTTTTTCCTAATTATCCCATCCAGGGAAACTGTAACACCCAAGATATGCTGTATATCTGTGTGAGTATGTGTGCTTCAGACTTAACACGGGCAAGGTTGCTTTTTACTTCCCAGTAACAGTTCCCCTGGGCAAAGCAGTACTGTCTTCATTGAGAGTGTATGTTTTACTGATAGGTAAACTTTTTGATTGCCTGAGCATTCAATCAAGTAAATAACTAAGGAAAGCAAGATAATAAAGAATCGTTGATTCTCATTACTCAAGGTAGTCAGGTTACATGAAAACAAGGCATATACTGAATTAGTGAACAGCAAATCCTTGCACTAAAAGGAAATAGAGGGATAGGTTCCTGTGAGCCTCCAACCAGGACATTTTCATCAAGTGAGCAAAACATAACCTTGTTTTTTGTGTGTTTCTCTTCAAAGACATCCAACTTAATGTATGTTTTAGATGCGTTAACACGAAATGAAAGCCAACGTCATGGAACTCATGTCTGAAAACAGCTTATCTACCGTGTGTGGGGGACATCGCAGCTTCCTGGCATTCAGGAACACTAGACAGCTCTCCACTACTCTTCCTGGAAGTCACCTGAAACGGCAAAATTACCACCAAAAGGCCAGAAATGCAAAAAAATGCAGCACTACGCAGACTACAGAAAACACGCTCGAGCTTAGCGTGGGGCTGAAATAAGAAAGGAGGGTGTGATCCTCTTCCTGGTCGTGGGAACCTGTACACTGCAGGACTCCACAACCTTTGAGTGCCGTGAGCACTACTTTTAGCAAGTAGGAAAACTCCGGATTATGAAATCTGCAAATAGTAAGGGTTAGCTAGATAGAATCTTGCCTTAAATGTGGTTTGTTTGTACCCAGCTTTCATGCAGACTGGCACCAGTGGCAGGCATACAGGATCACAAACCTTATTTCTTAGAGCTACTGGGAGAGCTCAGTAAAATAATCTAGATGAGAGCAAAACATAGAGAGAATGTTTAAACTTTTAAAACATATTACAGTAGCTGCATTGCCATTAATCCCCCTCTAAATACTGCCCCGCATATCAAATGCCCTGATCCTACTGTCCTTTAACTTTCTGAAGCAATTTACAGTTACGGCAACTTTTATCCAAAAAAAATTACACTATGTCCTCACCCACCTTATTCACTGGAGCTGGCCCTGTGCAACTTTTGATTCTTCCCCAAAGTCAAAAGCATCATAAAAGGTAAAAGTTTTGAGTCAGTTCAGGCTTTCAGACACTCACGAAAGAAGACTTCCAGAACTTCTTCAGAAAATGACAAGGACAGGGGAATTAATGTCAATGTGTCTTTTACTGTAATAATTTTTTGTTTGTTTTGTTTTTAGTCTTTTTGAGACAGGGTCTCCCTATGCAGTTCAGGTTGGCCTTGAGTTCACTTTGTAGCCTAGGCTGGTCTCGAACTCCCAATGATCCTCCTGCCTCAGCCTCCCAAGTGCTGGGAGTACAGGCATGAGCCACCACATCCAGCTGTAATAATTTTTTAAAACTTGTACTTGTACCGTATTTTGTGATTGTGTGACATTCTTTGGGATAGTGCAGACACCTAGGGAATATCTAACATC